GAGTATTTCTGCCAACAATTCAACCAATTGCAAGTATCTAATGAGCTCGAAGCCCTCCGCGCCCAACTGGCTATTTCGGAAAAACGGCGAATGGATCTTGAAAAACGCTTAGCGGAAACCACCTCGGAAGTGGCACGTGCGCAGGCTGAGAGCCGGGCAAATGATGCTGCATTAACGGCCTCGCGCAGAACCGAAGCTGCCCTGCGACGCCGTCTCCTGGCCACCATGGACACTGGACTAGGATCACGTGACCGTAGTAATCGGCCCACGTCAACAATTGAGTTTGGATACAATGCCATCGGCAGCGGTTCCCCCTCAAAGGAAGAATTTGAGGCTCAAGCTAATGTGCGTGCTGTAGGGTAGACAGACTTTCAAGTCCATGTTTGATCTAGTAAAACCTGCAAACTTTCACATTAATGGCCTGTAGTTTAGGGACATCAGCGCTGAATAGATACCTGTAACAACTCTAGACTTTAGCCCATTGCTCATGGAGGGCTTGGTGATATTTTGAGATGAGAGGCTTACAAAGGACTGTTTTGTCTTTCGGATGAGTATTCTACGTTGACCTTCTAGTGATTGTACAACTGTTATAAATTGCAGTTTGTTTCCAGAGTGGGAAATGGAGTCTCTGTGTATCTGTCCTTTGCACTCTCAATGGTGGTGGGAATGTTGATAAAAGATAACATACATTCGGATTCAATTTCAGGGGGGTAACTCGACAAACAGCTGCAGTGGCTAATGAAGGCAAGAGGGTAAGGATGACTTGTATGGCCACCTAAACAAAACTCAGGAATAGGAACAGGAATGCCCATCTCCTAAAAATAGGTGGTCTTGCGATAAATTTCGGGAAAGGTAATCTTCCTGTGTCTTAAACCTAACACAAAGATAAACTGTTACTTTAGTGTTAACATTATCCCTACCCTCAACCTTACCTTTTACGGTTAACGCGCATGCAAACCTTAACCTTTAACATAATCTTGACATTAAAACCAACTCTTACCTTAACTTCGGCCTTAAACCTAATCCAGAACTTAACACTAACACTCACCTTAATCCTTAAACTAATTTCCCTGAAATTTGGCGCAAAATCGTGCGTATAGTGGGCGGTTCCTGCTTCTATGTCCTGATTAGGGGGCCAAGTCATCGTTACTGACAACCTAATGAGTCACGGCTCATGGTTAGTCAGGACTGACTTAAGTGTGACGGATTTATTATGTGGACCGATTTCCGGGTGTCAAATATCCGAGCCTGTAAACCAGCGCATGATTGTATAGGAGACAGCATCTGACGAGGCGCAAAGCCCTACATCTAAGGCCACAGTATTAGGTACACGCGGACTCAGGACAACCAAATAGACGCTTTCTGTCAGCCAGCCTGGTCCTTGTTTTAGTCCAGCACATTTACAGTATTGCCTGTATTGTGAAAAGATTGATCAATAGATTGTATATTTAAGGCCCAAGGGGCCCTTTTGTTACAGGCTTAGTGTTGTGGTAAAAATAAATACAAACTTGGTAATTACAGCTGCGCGTAAGCAAATCTATAACAACAGGGATAAGTAATATGTTATAGATATTAAGTCATATCCGATTTACAACGGACCCTCTTTTGAATAATAGTCAGCAGTGTTAGGTAAATATGGTTAACTGAGAAAGGAGCAATGATTAAAAACTCCTAGAATTGAAATCAGTGGCAGAGTTTAGCGAGCGATTGATTTCCAAAAAAGTTAGGAGAAAAAACTGCTTAAATAGGTAGTTAGATTGATATTGTATGATATGATGCAGCGGGATGGGATCGTGATGTTTAGGGGTCGGAACGCTCCTTGTCGTGGGAAAAAAATTATATGGCATTATGGGAGTGAAATAAGAGGAGCTCATTGGGGTCGAAACGAGGAGGGGACCGTAGAAACCATGAGAGCATCGCCGAGGTGCGACCAAACAAACTTCAGAGTCCACTGACAAGTTGGCCAAAACGTAAGAACCCGCGACGATCATCAACAGGGACCTTGAAAACCACTGTCAGGCTTACAAAACGGAGAAGACTAGGCATTATTTGAAAATGATGCTTGATTCTGCAGAGTATACATACTGGATTTTTTTTCTTCCGCCTAATAATCGTTCTTTTTGGATAATTTGTACGCATTACTAAATCCTAATTCTAATGCATATATTTGTACTCCGTTTAGGTAGTAATTTGGAACTTATCTAAACGCATTTTTAGATGTCTCAAACCAATTGCGTAGATTATTTTAAAATTTTCATGATTAAACCAGTTCGCATGTTATATAGTGTCCACATCTCCACTGTAGGTCGTTCGCTTAGAAGCTCAGAATGCGGCGCTGACTGAGGCTAGCCATTTGGACCGCGTACGTCTGCAGGAACAAGCCACCAGAATTGCGCAACTGGAAGCAGAACACCGAACTCTTCACGATCGTATGTCACATTTGCAGGCTTCGGAATCTTGCGCTCAGCGGGCTAGCGTGCGCCTCCAGGTAAACATTCTCCTGTGTTATTGCTCTTTTACCCTGTTTACTTATATTTTCCTACAGATAAAATTTTAATGACAGTCACCCTTCGAATATCACGGGGTCACATACCAGGACCACCGCGAAGTGATGTATATGTATATATGGAGTGGAACCGAAAAAGAAGGGAACCACAATGGCCATTTCTGGTTTATTAGTCCTCATCAGCCAGTCATACCCAACTCCAAGTGGTGCATCACTCGAGATTCGAACCCGGTACCTCTGGTCATTGAGTTTTACACGCTATCATTGCACCATGGGCTCGTTGTTTTGTCGGTTCCGATTTGGAGTATGATGCGAATAGGGTGCTCATCCGGTCTATCTGATTAGGGAGCATATTTTTCCCGTCGTGCCTTGAGGCTCACTAGCGAAATAGCATAAATCCGCAGAACGTATCTTAAGCGCAAATCCGCAACATTTCAAGTCACGAGAAGCAAACTGTAAAGTGCCGAGAGATAACTGTGTATCATATGTACATTTACTCATCCCAAATAACGGTATCTTTTTAAAAGGCTCTGTACGAAGACATGCTGCGTGAATTCTCTGAGGCTTCCACACAGGATGCCACGCTCCGAAGGCGTCGGCGTCAGCAACAACAAACCGCCATGGAGAACATGGATTATGGTGACTTGGCCTCAGCTCAGTGGAACAATGAGCACGAGCAAGATTTGGTGAGTTTGCATCGTGACGAGTCGCATGCATGCCATTAGCTCACTTTTAAACTAAGTGTTATACAGGTATTTAAAGTTCCCGTCTAGTGATTTTTATATTGCA